GGCGGACGTGCTTGCAGCCCTGCGGGAGTCGGAGGATTCGGCCGCTGGGAAGGGATTCACAAAAAGCTTTGAATCGGAAGGGTTTCTCAGAATCGGAATGTGTCCCCTGTGGATGGAGATCCTGGACCACTTTGGAACCGCGAGAAAGCATCGCTTGTTGGTATTTGAAGGGGAATCAACATTCCAGGGTGTCTTAGGTGGTGCAGGATTTCGTCCATACACAGCAGGGTTGGTTTTTTATTGGTTTCCATTTAGAGAAAATGAACGGGTCCCCTAGAATATTGAGCCTTGGGCTTGGGTTGGTTTCGTTTCGCATTGGTTTCCCCTCAGAATAGCAACGAAAAGGGGGGTTTCAACAGTTTCAACCCACCTTGTTTGAGAAACTGCCCCTGGATGAAGCCTTCGTGGGACCCGAATAAAAAGCACCGAGAGGTTTCAAACGTCGAGAATGGGGTGACTGTCGATTTGTGCTAAAGGAGCCGATCTGCTCGGCGTGAGCCAATCTTTTTGGATGCGTTCTCCGTTTCCCCCGGCCTTGTTCTAGGGACACACTGGGACGATGGGATGACCTCCTGCGCTTGGGCTGGATGCCCTGCGGCTGGGTGCAGCTGGTTAGTCTTTGGGTTGATCTTTAAGCGTCTTGGAAGTGACTTTCCCTAAGTAGCAAACAGGTCAACCTTTTGCGGGTCAAAGATCAACCCTGCGTACTGGGGACGCTTGTTTGCGGCGCATGCGCTAGGGTTGTCTCCAGTTCTACTTCAAACGCGGTGCTTCAGGTGTCGGTTTGCCAGCGCGCGCCAATGCAGGTAAAGCATTGTCATGCCGTTTCTTGTCCACATTCCTCGTGGTGACAGGGCTCTAGAGCATGATTCTCTCGACTGAAGAAGAATCCAGCTGGTTTCTACCGGTGTTTGGCTTGTTTGGAGCTCTCTTAACTGAGGATTTTTTAGTGAATGGAGCTTCCCAGAACTGAGTTGGGCCCAGGTCATCATTTGGGCGCACAGACGCTCAGATGCAATGTTTTCGAGATTCATTTCGGGGAGGTCAGACTTGGGAGATTGGCTGGGACTGACAAGTTGTGAGGTTCAAGGAACATCCATGCGCAGGAATAGTTTGGAACTTGCTGCATTTATTGTTGGCTAGAGCAGAAAGGACATGGGAAGTTTAGCAAGTTGATAAAACATTTGCCTGTCGGGCATGAACTCATTGCAGACTAATGCACACACACACACCGGCGCTACTGCAGTCGGCAGATTGGGGGGGGGGCAAATGGAAAGATTGCTAGATTAGGAGATTGACACATGCGCATAATCTTTAATGTTGTGGTTTTGAGCTTGATGATTGGAGGTATGTGAGCTTGACTCAACAACAATGGCATGCGCTTTGCAGCGGCACAAAGGGCATAGTTGATCCTGCTTTTCAGAATGACATGGCGAGCAGGCAGAGATTGATGCTTCAATCAGCAGGTCAACTTGCGGAACTTATTGGATACAACGAGTATCAACCAAGGCAACGATCAAGTTGATGCTCTTTAGGCAAAAACGGGAGCAACAAGCCAAATCATTCTTTGGCCAATATTAAGATATCGACGCGACGGGAAACAACAAGTGCGAAGAGGCAGAACAGGAACAGCTTAAGCAATGGCGGTATTGATTAGGTGGTAAGCCCACACACACACACACTCACGAATGGGTTTGTCTCAAAAGGGAACCTCCACATGCCTACATTGAGTTGGAGCCTGATGTTCTTGAGATCTCCAAGTTTTGAGTCCAGCAAGCAAACGCAAGACTTGGCCAACTTGCTTCGGCGTTAGACGATGCAGAGAGCCATCACTTTCCACCCAGGCTGAACCGCGCTGATGCCTGCCTGGATGTTTAACCCGCGGTAGGTGCGTTGATGTCACTACGGATTGTGTGTCCCCAATCCGAGTTGTCCCTCTGCTAGACACGGGTTCAAAGCAACTCCCCAAGCAAGCGGCACCTAAACCCCTGTTGGCCAAGTGAAAGTAGGTGGTTCTACCTGGTTTTCATAGGGGTTATAGCCTTCCCTATACAAACCTTATACTCACACCGGTCCCACACAAACATCCCCCCAAGCTTCGGGGGGTCAAGTGGCTTGACCGTCCCCACCGCGGCGAGTCGCGCGTCGCCTCGTCACGCGTGGCGGCTCGCGCGTCGAGGCCTCGGCACGGGCGTCGCGCTGTCGGCCCTGGCCAAGCTGGCGGAGAGCGGCCGCAAGTGTCGGGGCCTGGTCCTGGAGGCGCGGAGCGCGGGAGCGCGGGAGGAGCGCTGGAGGTGGGGGGCACCAGAAGCGACGGCCGGCCTCCGGGCCCAAAACTGGGTTTGGTCTGTTGTTTAATAGGGTAGACTAAATATGAACCATTTGAACGTTTTCTGGGTACGGATGCGGGCCAAGAAAAGGTCCTGAATAATTAGACATGGACAGGGGCCGCACAATCTCAGAAAAGACAAGAGTCCCCATTCTTCCTTGGATCGCGGTAGAGGTTGACCATCTCCAGAAACTCATTGAATGACTTGCTGGTGCTCAGAAGGGAATGTGGGAATGACCTCCGAACTCCCCTTGAAGGAAACCACAAGGGAATCGGGGTCATTCCAAGTCATCCCCTGCCGAGCAGCAGCAAGATATGGGGTTTCCCGTATTTCCCGGTCAAAAGCCCTCGCAACTGCAGCGCCAGGCGCCCTTCATCTCCTTGCCCGCGGCGGCTGCGGCGCTGGTGACGCCGCGGTCATGGGCCGACACTCGGCAAGGCGCGCGCGGGGGGGACGGGGGGTTGGCAGCTGTCCCTCGTTGTTCCTTGGGGAGTTTCAAGCACAGCGATTGCGCCGATGTTCACTGAGTTTTGTTCTGGAGGGCGATGTTTCAGGGGACCCGAAGGGAAGCTTGCTTGTTTTGATGTACGTTGTCAAAACAGCAGAGAAACTGTGCTGAGAACTTGCAATTTGAAGGCACTTGGCACTTGGGAAGAAATTTCGAAAATGGCCCTCATGGCCTCATACAAGTTTATTGGTTTGTCAGGCCTGTTGATTTTGCCTTTTGCCTGGATTCCAAGCGGCGACCCTCGACCCCCCATGCTCCTTGCAGGTTGTCTTCCCCCAGCGCTTGTGACTCCTGACCCCCTTCTTGGTGGTACGCGTCACCTGTCAGAAAGGCCAATTCATTTGGATGAGATTCCTTGATGATGCTTGTTGTTACATGTAGATCCCCGCCCGCCGCCACCACACCAAAAGAGAACTCATATTTTGCAGCATTGCCAACCAATGTTGAGCACCCCTTCATTACTGGGTATGTGCGCTAGTCTCTTCTCGGGCTCAACCCAAAATCGTACCTGGGCTGCAGGTCTGACCAGTCGCCTCCCCAACATCCTGGGGGATCTCCAATTCGACTCCGCCTCGAAGATTCGGGCGGTCGCGGAGACTATGCCGGCGAGGGGGCCCAGCCCGGCTGGACAAAAAGGGATCTCAGTCAGGGCCCCTTGTGAAAGAGATCTTGCAGAGGATGCTCTGTGCAGACCCTGAAGAGAGAACTCCCGTTTGTGACCAGGGTGCCCTGCCCGCAAGGTTGTGGAGTTTCTTCCTTTCGCGAGTTTGCCCGAGGTCCTCATCCTGCACGGCACTGAGGACGTGAAGGTCGGGGTGCTGTCGGTAGTTGCAATGTGTGCTGCAGGCATGGGGTCACTGTATTGACATTTCTGGATTTTGCCCTTTTCAGAAAGTGTTTGTTTCTGATTATATTCCAACTAGGGTTATCGGGCCAGTTGTGTTTCCGCCCGTGCTTGATGAATGGGAACAACTCCTTCGCATTTGGTTTGGAACGGAAACCCACATGGGACTTTTGCCTTTCGGCCGGGGGAATTGTTGACAGGTGCCCTTCGAACAGGGCCAGCGGCTCGCGGAGGTCGGGGAGGTTCCGCGCCTCCGGCGGCAGACACCCCCAGTGCTCGCTTGTGTATGTGTTTTTCCTTTTTTGGTTAGCGTTTGTTCTTTTTTTTGGAGGTGCATTTTTGAAAGTCGACGGCCAAACAGTAGAGTGGCCTTGTTTACCATGGCTACTGGGAGCTTAGGGGTGGAGAATCAGGGTCTATTATTCTTCCAAAATCGGGAGATTGACCGGAATGAGATCTCCGACTTATCTTAACATTTCTGTTTCCCGCTGACTGAAGATTTACCATTTTTGCCTGGCAAAAACCACCACTTTTTTTCTTTTTTTGTAAGATGCGGCCCTGTTTGAAAAAGGGTCGCTTCGCCGTAGGTTTTCGAAGGTCAGGGGGGGAACCTTGCCCCCACCCATCCCCCCTATTTGAAAAGACAAATTCAATTGGTGGTCGATGTAAAATCCCATGAGGCGCACAGGCCGTTTGTGATAATCTCGGATATCCGGCCCCAGCTCGATGTGAACCGGCCACGGCCTGAGGCTGCGCAGCTTTCCCTGCGGCCACAATGACCTGGTGAAGCAGCCGCAGCTGAGGGATTTGTTGCCCCAAACCTTCGCGGAATGGGCGAAGAGCGCGCGTTGAAAGAAGTGTGGCTGCCAGGGCTTGCGAGACTTGGGGGGAGGCTTATCACGAAAACACAGATGCTGACATGATTTAGGTCAGGGATACTGGTAGTGGGAAATGGCTGCGGCGCATTGCAATGTTTGCACAAACTTCGGGGCTTCAGAGTCAAGGAACTCGGAGAAGGAAGGAGGGCACCCCAGTCGCTCCTGCCAACCTGGGGATGCTGGCGCTAGAGACTTTCCGTCACGTCAGTTGAACTTCACGAAGCACAACCTTCAATGCGGGACTCCAAATGCGTGTGTCCTTTTGGGGGAACTTCGAAGAAAAAACAAAAACACAAAAAAAGCAAAAAACCACCTTTTGAATTCCCTTCAAGACCGCCCCAAAAGGGCTTCCCTAAAGACCCTCAGATGGGAGCCCCCAAACGGATGGTTTCCGGGTTCCCCTTTTTCCTCGTCGCCACCCACGGGGCACACCGTACCAGGTGGGGCTCAGCGCCATCCCGATCGCATCAAGAAGCCGCTTCGGCCAGCAAAATCAAGCCACAGATTGGCCCTAGTCCCCTGCAAAGGTCCGATTTGGATGCCCCCCCCCCCAAATATATGGCTGTGGGTCAAAACCAATGGTACCATTTTGGGGTAGGTGCACCACCCATTTTAGTTTATTTTAGTGGGGATTGGGATGTTTTCTGGGGGCATGGCCATATACATATGTATATATATAATATATATATATATATATATGTATACACATGGTGGATTCCCTTTTTTGTTCCTTTTAAAAGCCTACAAAAGCGGGGTCCCCTAAAAAAGGACACACCATTTTTTATTTTTTTTTAATTGGGGATGTATTGGGGATCCTTTGGTGAACATTATTTACATAGGGATTTATCTCGACCAATCATGTTTGGGATGATGCTGTTGCCCATTAAACTTCATAGCCATCACGGAAGGAACCCAAGAGAAACTGTTCCCCGCGCGAGACTTTCTCGAGAAACGAACGGATCCTTTTGGGTTTTTGTATGGAGAGCATGGGCGGGTCAGCTGAGCCACATACGCCTGGGTGATAAGAGATTTGAGGTTTTTCGGTTCTTTGTCTTTTACCCCGGGTTTTAGGTCGACTCCTTTGGGGGTAGGTAGACTCCTTTACTGGGCTTCTGATTGTGACAGCGCTTAAAAATCGGGAGCCCCGCGGGCACCGCGTAGGCTTCGAGGCTTCGCCTTTTGATGGCTGCAATGGGAAGTGTCGTGTAAATTGGGGAAGCCCAGGTAGACATGGCCAGCCGTTGTAAGAAAGACCCCCTGCCCATACTGGGACGCCAAAAAGACGAGCAAGTGACAAGAATCCCAGACAGAAGCACCCCATGACCATTTGTAGCTTGCTTAGTCGGAGAAAATGAGACAAGGGAAAACACGAGGCAGCCGACACCTTTGCACCGGCACCTTTTGGACGCTGCATTTAGAGGAGCAAGAGTGTAGATGCAGCTGAGAAAGGTAAAACCTGCTTTCACAGCCAGCGATACAGCGTTTTGTCCAAAGCTGAAATGTCTTCGGTTCTGAGACGATTAGATTCGTGTACAAACATATATATATATATATATATGCACATACAAACACATATGTATATATATATATATCTACATATATATATATATGTATATATATATATATGTATATATATATATATACACATGTATGTGTATCCATATATGCATATATGTATGTAGTGCGTCTGTCTGATTTTATAGGACTCGAAACATTAGGACACGACATGCTGTTTTTGCCAACCCAAACGCACAGACATCCAGCCACCATCTATATTTATGTGCGAGGGCACAGTCCCAGCGCTGGGATGATTCATGCAGTTTGTTCAATACGATGACCACAGTGGTTGGCAATCTATGAGGAACGCTAGATCAGACTCTTCACCTCGCGATTGGGCCGAAGAAGGGTCCTAATCCCTTAGGACTGGACTGGTGCTACGACAACCCCCCCCAAAAAAATGGGACCAGCAAGATCCATCCCCAATCCCTCACTGGGAAACCACTTGGACATACGCAAGTTGTTGTGGAGCCGAGGCTGTACTTGCTGGCGGCCCTGGAAGTAGAGAAGCTGGGGCCCACGGCCGACGTTTGGACCCTTCGTGTGGCTGGTGTGAGGGAGTGTTCAAAGGCCCCTCTTTGGGACAGACCCATGTGCATGGACTAAGAGAGAAGCTGCGAATCACCTCTGGCGCCGCTTTTCTGAGCCTTTGGGTTCTTCCCAGCAGTGTTTTCTGTCAAACCAACCACCCAGTGGTTTCAAAATGACCTTTTGCCAAATTAAACTCTTCGGAACCAGGTGGCCCCAGTTCGGAGCCCAAAACGGCAGGGTCGGGTTGATGATCATGCATTTGGACGGCTGACACTCCCCTGCAAATGAACTTGGAGCCCCCAAAAAGACGCTCTTCAGAAATCCCACCAAAAACCAGTTTTTTGTTCCATGCCCTTATGCAGCAGATGCCAACTGCCATGACCGGCCTGAAACACCGCTGACGCCCAGGTTTAAGAACAAGACGTTGGATGCCCAGATGACAGGCTGGGCGATGTGAGTTGGTAGGCACTCTCCTTGCAGACATGAACCAAGGCATCCGGTGACTGTAAGGGCTACCGCAAGGCTAGGCCATTGAATGCGTAAGACAGTTGGTAGTTCCGTGGTACAGGACCAGGACCGTTGAACGAACAGCTACCCTTTGTGATGGCAGGGATTGTGCCTGAGCCGTGACTGCATCTTGTGACGACACCCCACAGCAAATCTCGGGAAAACCACTTTTTCATCCTGTTTACCCTTCAGCGGCAGTCTTCAAAGCTGCTTATTGTGAATTCAAAAGCGCTTTCTGAGAAGCCAGCGTAACATCCCTATTTCTGGGCTGCACAGCATTCATTTTGTCCACGCAACCGTGCTTTCCGTCCAACGAAAACATCTTTTTTCCCCGCAGTACGGGGTTTGCCGTCAGCTAAAGCCTCATGCCTGCCACGCAAAACTGAGGTGTGCGTTGCAATTCCATGCGCCCCTGCGCGTTGCGGCTCCGGGGGTGGGGGGAGGGGGGGAAGAGTCATAGCGTCAGTTGCCCCGTGCGCTGCACACGCGCCTGCCAAATGAAAAGCACTCCTGCGCACCCGCCCAGCATTGCGCGCACGCGCAGCCAATTCTTTCGCGTCGAAGTTGAGTGTGAGGCCTTGTTGCTCGATGCACGCGTGCAACAAGTGCGGGAAAGGGTTGCGAGCGGGGAGCGATTCGTAGCGCCTGGCCGTGGGTGGAGTCGATCCAGGCTGACTGGCCCAGTCCTCGGCTGCCACTCGACGAGTTGCTGAGGTTTGCTCCCCTGCCAGGCAGGTCAAGGCTCTATCGCGGCTTTCTCCTCACCTAAAGAACCCCACACCTTCACGGCCTCCACTGCCTTTGGAGCTTTCAACAGCTTCAACAGCGGGAACCGTGGGGGGGACTGCAAGGAAGCGAGCTGAGTGGCCAGATGACAGAAAGCATTTGGGGTGGGCATTCTTATTCACACATCAGCGGCGAACCCGCTGCTACAGTCACTGTTGCAGTGCTAAAATCTCTCACTACACAGAAGGCGCCCATGGCCTATTTCAACCTTTTTGTGAGACAGGGGACAGAGATTCACAAAGTGCCTGCTCCGTGAAGGACAGTTCAGGAAACTGGAAGACATTCTGAATGTCCGCTCCAGGTGCAAAGCTTGGTTGTCTGGGGGGTGCTACGGACTGCTATCCGGCATGCACGGCTGGTGGCCGCGCAACAGAGCTGTTCAGGTGGAACGCCGGCCACCTCGTGTGCAGTTTGTCAGTGGACACGAAGCTTGCTCGCAAACCTTGCCGAGTGCATCTTATATTTGGCAAACCGAGAGCCTGGCCCAACACAGGAAAAGGTGCACGCGAGGCCGGGGAAGAGCTGGCTGTCTGCCAGCTGCTGGTGGAGTGAAATGTTTTCGCGTGGGTTGATTTGGACAGTGTCTTGAGATGGAGTTCCTGTTTTCGGGGACTCTTTGCGGTTCCCAAGTCGCTTCCTGATGGGCGCTGCGTGGTCCAAATGTTTTTTTGGCTTGGCAGTCAGTGGTGCTATCAGATGATGAGTTGCTGGAAACGGCTGCCGCTGCACAGTGGCTGCCAATGGGTTGGAGAAGCGCTGTAGGCTGGACTGGCTGTTCCGACACTTGTGATACCCAGCATCGGGAGCAATCCGAGCTTACAGCTTGTGTGGGCCAATCGGCAATGGCCCGGAGGCGGACAAGCTCAAGAAGTTCAGGCTTGGGGGGCTTCCCTTGTGCCCGCCTTTCGTCAAAGAGGGAACCAAAGAACTCGGGATGCCCAACGCATCTTTGGACCTTTGAGAATGTTGCTTCTATGGACGTGCGCGCTTGTGATCAGATTTCTGCCAGCCTGGATATTTGGCTGATGCCAGCCACGGCCGAGAAAGTGAGGGCTGGTGCTTGGGCAAGCGCAGACAACTTCAGGATCCTGAAAATCATCTGAGCTTCTGAATAAGAGCTTCTGATAAAATCGTACCGAGTCATTCCAAGCCTGCCATGTCAGCCTCAGTGGCAGAGCAGTCAACCGCAGCTTATGTTGCAATGGCTACCCGACGCTGCCAGACGAGCGATTGATGCTGCGGCCTGGGGCTTGCCCCGGTCACCTTGTCCAAACTGCTCACAAAACTGGCGAAGGAAATTTCAGCACACATCCTGCGGATAGCCGTGACGAGTAGGCGGCGCAGAGCGGCTCTGGCGGCTCCTGTGCCTTTTTCTGGGGAGCAAACTTCAACTTTGACGCGCCGCACTTGACGCGCTCTGCGGTACTTTTGCGTGGCGCCCAACCGTGCCGGCGCAAGTGCAGCGCCTCTGCCGGCTGGCGTGGCCATCGCCTCTGAACAAGCCAGTCGAGCTGGCCTGCGTGATTGGGCTCGGGTTCCATGCCATGCTGCGCACTGACAATGACATGGGTTCAGCCAACCCGCAGAGCGGTAAATCTGCATAGCTCCCAGTGAGGCCACGAGGAGAGGCTGAGGGCAGCGCCTCGCTTGTTTGCAGGCGCGAGATTTGATCAGTTTTGCAAGGCCTTCAAATCCTTGCGCTTGTTCCTCCATTTGGAAGAGTTCCATTCCAACAACCCTTGGAACCTGTCCATTTTGAGACCCGAATGGAAGTCGTTGGCGACGGAGAGGCTTGATTTGCAAGATGGGCGGCAGACATCCGGCTGAAAGCTGATAGCCTCAACAATTTTGAGCGTTGCAACAAACAATTTTTGCAAAACAAAGCGCTCGAGTGCCGTGGACGGCCCCGGGGTTGGATGGCCGGGGCTCCGTACCCATTTCCTTCCTTGCGTGTGCCCGGCCTAGCTTTGTGTTTTGTGTAAGCAACTGCAAGCTGTGGCTAAACCAAAAGAGGCGGGCTTGATGATAAGCGCACCCGCTCAGCACTGCACATACGCCTGCCAAATCATAAGCGCACCCACAAAAGTGCGATTGGTTGAATGTCAAGCTGACCTGACTCCAATGCGTGAAACGAAAAAGGCATGGTCCTCGGTTTCGGACCGACGGCATACCTGCCGTAGCGTGCTTTACGTTTTCTCGGGTTTGTGTTGGTCAACATAATCACCCCCCTACTCAACCCCTCCTGCGCAACGTGTAATCAACTATGGCAGGCAGGAAATCCACATGTGTAACAAGCTGAGACTTCCGCGCAAACATGGTTCAATCCCATGGTTGAACATCCAAGAGCCCAGTCGGCGCCCGCGTGTCGTCTGATGCTGCCAGGCGCCACCCAGGGCACAATGACGACAGCGCAGACGCTGCAGTCCCTTGTCACGCAGGAGCTGATTTGATGACCTGGTAGTTGGCTCTAGCAACCCGGTACTCGCTGTGTGTTTTCTTCAGTTCTATGATCAACTTCCAGTGTGTGATTATCAAAGGCCGCGGTTGAGTGTCCAGAGTTTATTCTTTTGCACCTTGCTGAGTTGTGCTTGTGGTACGCAATATTCCTTTGGTGTCTTGGGACTCGTAGTCGAGACAAGGCTGAAAGCCTCGAGAGGGCCACTCTGAGCTGCCCGTAGTACACCACTAACTTGAATCTAGAAAGGGACCCCCCCCCAAAAAAAAATGCGGACTTCCTCTTGGTTTCTCTTGAAAACCACATAAAGGGGCACCTGCCGCTTTTGGCCCTTGCAAATTCAGCTTTGGCAAGTCTACTTGAGGGGCCGCGAGAAAGATTCATTGGGGGCCGAACAGCAGTTTCCGGCACGGCAAGTCGAGTCTGCCTTCCCTATCGCGAATGTGGCAGTCAGCAGTCAGACCCAGGTTTCAGGAAGGCCAAATGAGTGAAGGTCCAGAAAGAACGATGATCATGAAGCGCGAAAAGATGAACTGCCGTTGAACCGGGCGGGAGAAACAAAGCTGTCACAAACGGGAAAAGGCGAAACTTCACGGAGATGAACGAGGTGGACAGATTTCGGATTGCACCTGTGGTTCGCCGGAGCCATGCAGCTTTTTAACCCACAAGCAATGTTTTTTTGTTTCTTTTAAATCACGAGCGATCCTCTTCTGCGGAAGATGTGGAACGGAATCAAACGTAATTAAGTCCATTCAGATTCTCTTTGGTCAGCAGGTTCTTTCGAACCTTTCCTGGGCCCTGAATTCCCTTTGTGTCCCTTGTTGGTGGTCTTGGACTGTTTGTCTTAGGTGGGTTGATGTTTCGGGGGAAATAGAGCGCCCTGGTGGGTTTTGCACACGTCTTCCACAGGACCAAATGGCATCCAGTGACCGAGCGCTGGAGAGCCCGTGGAGAGGGTGCGAGGCGATCCGGAGAGGGGATGCGGAAGTTTTGGTTGGCCAACAATTTCTGGTTTCGGCCTGACACCAATGGACGATATAACCTTTGTTTTTTTCGCCGATTGCCACAGAGAAAGCGCGCATGGCGTCAAATAGACCTTTCAGGGTAAGGAGCACTGGCAAGGGGCCCTGGAGAAATGGCGGGTCTCAGCCAAAATGTCCCAACGGGAGTTGAACAGTTCTTTTGGCCTATCTGGCCCCGGTCTGATTTTTTCCGGTTTCTAACACAACGACTGGTGCGAGTGAGTGGGGTGCGAGCGAAGCTTTACCAGCTGACCGCCCTGCGAGGCCTTTCACATCTACCTTTTGTCCCAACGGCAGCTGTATGAGGGCCAGTTCGAACAGGTTCGCCGGGGGAACAGTGGCCAGCAGAATTGGAGATGGCGCGTTTATTTTATTTGGGGCACCAATTCGGGGTTGTTCTTTTTGAAGGCGCCCAGGTGATTGAAACAACAGTTGTCACTAGCCATGTGGTTGCTACTTCACACTTATGGGATCCAGGGATATTCAGCCCAGCTTGTCGAGCCTGAACACCAACTCATAATGATATACGAGGCATTTGTTTGATTAGGCTTGGCGAATTGAATGCACCATCGAAGTGCTTGCTGCCTCCGACAGGAGGTGTTGATGCAGAGAACCTTTGGATTGCCAGGTGTGGTGCGTTAAGGTGTGATTTTGTCCTCTTTTCGGATGTGCGGCCAGTGCTTTTAGTGATGCGACAGATGACGAGCCTGAAGTGCATTGCACACCAAATCGTGATGATATACGAGGCATTTGTCTGATTAGGCTTGGCGAATTGAATGCACCATCGGATTGCTTGTTTTCTCCGTTGATGGACAAGCAGCATTCTGGCTTTGGTGTGCCAATGGTGGTGCGTAAAGGTCTGGTTTTGTCATCTTTTCGCATGCGTGGCCAGTGCTTAGTGATGAGACAGATGACGAGCCTGAAGTGCGTTGCACACCAAATTGTGATGATATACGAGGCATTTGTCTGATTAGGCTTGGCGAATTGAATGCACCATCGGATTGCTTGTTTTCTCCGTTGATGGACAAGCAGCATTTTGGCTTTGGTTTGCCAAGTGTGGTGAGTTAAGGTGTGGTTTTGTCATCTTTTCGGATGCGTGGCCAGTGCTTAGTGATGCGACAGATGACGAGCCTGAAGTGCATTGCACACCAAATCGTGATGATATACGAGGCATTTGTCTGATTAAGGCTTGGCGAATTGAATGCACCATCGAAGCGCTTGCTTCCTCAGATAGGAGGTGTTGATGCAGAGAGTCAGCTTTGTACCTTAGGTTTGCCAAGTGTGGTGCGTTAAGGTGTGGTTTTGTCATCTTTTTCGGATGCGTGGCCCGTCCTTAGTGATGAGACAGATGACGAGCCTGAAGTGCATTGCACACCAAATTGTGATGATGTACGAGGCATTAGGCTTGGCGAATTGAATGCACCATCGAAGTGCTTGCTTCCTCAGATAGGAGGTGTTGATGCAGAGAGTCAGCTTTGTACCTTGGATTTGCCAAGTGTGGTGAGTTAAGGTGTGGTTTTGTCATCTTTTCGCATGCGTGGCCAGAGCTTAGTGATGAGACAGATGACGAGCCTGAAGTGCATTGCACACCCAATTGTGATGATATACGAGGCATTTGTCTGATTAGGCTTGGCGAATTGAATGCACCATCGCACTGCTTGCTTGCTTGCTTGCTTCCTTGCTGCGTTGATGGACAAGCAGCTCTTGGTCTTTGGTTTGCAAAGTGTGGTGAGTTAAGGTGGGTTTTGTCACTTTTTCGGATGCGTGGCCAGTGCTTGGTGATGAGACAGATGACGAGCCTGAAGTGCATTGCACACCAACTTGTGATGATATACGAGGCATTTGTCTGATTCGGCTTGGCGAATTGAATCACCATCGGATTGCTTGTTTTCTCCGTTGATGGACAAGCAGCATTTTGGCTTTGGTTTGCCAAGTGTGGTGAGTTAAGGTGTGGTTTTGTCATCTTTTCGGATGCGTGGCCAGTGCTTAGTGATGCGACAGATGACGAGCCTGAAGTGCATTGCACACCAAATCGTGATGATATACGAGGCATTTGTCTGATTAGGCTTGGCGAATTGAATGCACCATCGAAGCGCTTGCTTCCTCAGATAGGAGGTGTTGATGCAGAGAGTCAGCTTTGTACCTTAGGTTTGCCAGTGTGGTGCGTTAAGGTGTGGTTTTGTTATCTTTTCGGATGCGTGGCCAGTGCTTAGTGATGAGACAGATGACGAGCCTGAAGTGCATTGCACACCAAATTGTGATGATATACGAGGCATTTGTCTGATTAGGCTTGGCGAATTGAATGCACCATCGCACTGCTTGCTTGCTTGCTTGCTTGCTTGCTTGCTTGCTTTGCTTTGCTTGCTTGCTTGCTTGCTTGCTTGCTTGCTTGCTTGCTTGCTTGCTTGCTTGCTTGCTTGCTTGCTTGCTTGCTTGCTTGCTTGCTTGCTTGCTTGCTTGCTTGCTTGCTTGCTTGCTTGCTTGATGGACAAGCAGCTCTTGGTCCTTGGTTTGCAAAGTGTGGTGAGTTAAGGTGGGTTTTGTCACTTTTTCGGATGCGTGGCCAGTGCTTGGTGATGAGACAGATGACGAGCCTGAAGTGCATTGCACACCAAATTGTGATGATATACGAGGCATTTGTCTGATTAGGCTTGGCGAATTGAATGCACCATCGGATTGCTTGTTTTCTCCGTTGACGGACAAGCATTTTGGCTTTGGTTTGCCAAGTGTGGTGAGTTAAGGTGTGGTTTTGTAATCTTTTCGGATGCGTGGCCAGTGCTTAGTGATGAGACAGATGACGAGCCTGAAGTGCATTGCACACCAAATCGTGATGATATACGAGGCATTTGTCTGATTAGGCTTGGCGAATTGAATGTACCATCGAAGTGCTTGCTTCCTCAGATAGGAGGTGTTGATGCAGAGAGTCAGGTTTGTACCTTAGGTTTGCCAAGTGTGGTGCGTTAAGGTGTGGTTTTGTTATCTTCTTCGGATGCGTGGCCAGTGCTTAGTGATGAGACAGATGACGAGCCTGAAGTGCATTGCACACCAAATTGTGATGATATACGAGGCATTTGTCTGATTAGGCTTGGCGAATTGAATGCACCATCGAAGTGCTTGCTTCCTCAGATAGGAGGTGTTGATGCAGAGAGTTAGCTTTGTACCTTGGATTTGCCAAGTGTGGTGCGTTAAGGTGTGGTTTTGCCATCTTTTCGGATGTGCGGCCAGTCCTTAGTGATGAGACAGATGACGAGCCTGAAGTGCATTGCACACCAAATTGTGATGATATACGAGGCATTTGTCTGATTAGGCTTGGCGAATTGAATGCACCATCGCTGCTTGCTTGCTTGCTTGCTTGCTTGCTTGCTTGCTTGCTTGCTTGCTTGCTTGCTTGCTTGCTTGCTTGCTTGCTTGCTTGCTTGCTTGCTTGCTTGCTTGCTTGCTTGCTTGCTTGCTTGCTTGCTTGCTTGCTTGCTTGATGGACAAGCAGCTCTTGGTCCTTGGTTTGCAAAGTGTGGTGAGTTAAGGTGGGTTTTGTCACTTTTTCGGATGCGTGGCCAGTGCTTGGTGATGAGACAGATGACGAGCCTGAAGTGCATTGCACACCAAATTGTGATGATATACGAGGCATTTGTCTGATTAGGCTTGGCGAATTGAATGCACCATCGGATTGCTTGTTTTTCTCCGTTGACGGACAAGCATTTTGGCTTTGGTTTGCCAAGTGTGGTGAGTTAAGGTGTGGTTTTGTAATCTTTTCGGATGCGTGGCCAGTGCTTAGTGATGAGACAGATGACGAGCCTGAAGTGCATTGCACACCAAATCGTGATGATATACGAGGCATTTGTCTGATTAGGCTTGGCGAATTGAATGTACCATCGAAGTGCTTGCTTCCTCAGATAGGAGGTGTTGATGCAGAGAGTCAGGTTTGTACCTTAGGTTTGCCAAGTGTGGTGCGTTAAGGTGTGGTTTTGTTATCTTCTTCGGATGCGTGGCCAGTGCTTAGTGATGAGACAGATGACGAGCCTGAAGTGCATTGCACACCAAATTGTGATGATATACGAGGCATTTGTCTGATTAGGCTTGGCGAATTGAATGCACCATCGAAGTGCTTGCTTCCTCAGATAGGAGGTGTTGATGCAGAAGTTAGCTTTGTACCTTGGATTTGCCAAGTGTGGTGCGTTAAGGTGTGGTTTTGTCATCTTTTCGGATGTGCGGCCAGTCCTTAGTGATGAGACAGATGACGAGCCTGAAGTGCATTGCACACCAAATCGTGATGATATACGAGGCATTTGTCTGATTAGGCTTGGCGAATTGAATGCACCATCGAAGTGCTTGCTTCCTCAGATAGTTTGTACCTTAGATTTGCCAAGTGTGGTGCGTTAAGGTGTGGTTTTGTCATCTTTGGGATGCGCGGCCGGTGCTTAGTGATGAGACAGATGACGAGCCTGAAGTGCATTGCACACCAAATTGTGATGATATACGAAGCATTTGTCTGATTAGGCTTGGCGAATTGAATGCACCATCGAAGTGCTTGCTTCCTCAGATAGGAGGTGTTGATGCAGAGAGTCAGCTTTGTACCTTAGATTTGCCAAGTGTGGTGAGTTAAGGTGGGTTTTGTCATCTTTTCGGATGCGTGGCCAGTGCTTGGTGATGAGACAGATGACGAGCCTGAAGTGCGTTGCACACCAAATTGTGATGATATACGAGGCATTTGTCTGATTAGGCTTGGCGAATTGAATGCACCATCGAAGTGCTTGTTTTCTCCGTTGATGGACAAGCAGCATTTTGGCTTTGGTTTGCCAAGTGTGGTGAGTTAAGGTGTGGTTTTGTCATGTTTTCGCATGCGTGGCCAGTGCTTGGTGATGAGACAGATGACGAGCCTGAAGTGCATTGCACACCAAATTGTGATGATATACGAGGCATTTGTCTGATTAGGCTTGGCGAATTGAATGCACCATCGGATTGCTTGTTTTCTCCGTTGATGGACAAGCAGCATTTTGGCTTTGGTTTGCCAAGTGTGGTGAGTTAAGGTGTGGTTTTGTTATCTTGGCGCATGCGTGGCCAGTGCTTAGTGATGAGACAGATGACGAGCCTGAAGTGCATTGCACACCAAATCGTGATGATATACGAGGCATTTGTCTGATTAGGCTTGGCGAATTGAATGCACCATCGCACTGCTTACTTGCTTGCTGCGTTGATAGACAATCAGCTCTTGGTCTTTGGTTTGCAAAGTGTGGTGAGTTAAGGTGGGTTTTGTCATTTTTTCGGATGCGTGGCCAGTGCTTGGTGATGAGACAGATGACGAGCCTGAAGTGCATTGCACA